ACACATTATGTTTGTAGTTGGTGTTGAAGCTGCTGGTAAAGCATGGAAATCAGTTGCTACAAGACATGATCTACTAGCAGTGAAGGAGAAGGAGAGAGAGACAAAAGGGAAGAGAGGAGGGAAAGGAGGAGGAGGAGCATCCTCTACTGATGGATCAGGAAATGCATTCACTCAAGCAAGACAAGTAATGACTAGTATAGTATTGTAATTGTTATCTTAATTACTATAATAGTTAGTGTCCTTTTAAATGATTAATATTATTGTTTGATAATTAGCGTATAATTATTGTAATTATACTGATAGTTTTAAACTAGTTTTAATTAAGCAAACTCCTCACTTGTTTGTACAGAGCCTGACATCTTAATTAATATTAGTAGATAAGAATTACAATGTATAAAATTGTATCTTAAAACTGGCCTTAACTTCAATTCTGCTTGTGCAGGAGGCAAACCACTTTATCCAATATCTGATAGTCAATGACATGAACTGTAATGATGTACATGTACATGTACATGTACATTGTATTTATAGAAGTTTTTAATGAGCTATAGTTTTAGGTACAGCAATTGTATGATAAAAAAAGTTGCATTACCTGCATGTGAATGCATCCAACTTGACATGATGATAATATTGTGTCAATTGTTATTATTATTATTATTATTATTATTATTATTATTATTATTATTATTATTATTATTATTGTTGTTGTTGTTAGAAACTTGATAAAAGAGGAGAGGATTTATCAAGGATTGAGGAACAAACAGAAAAGCTTGCCACTGATGCTGATGACTTTGCTTCTGTTGCTGAAAGGCTTGCTGAGAAGTATCGAAAGAAAAGATTTTAATTCATTGAAATTGTAAAATAAATTTAATGCACATACACACACACGCTTAACTATGTTGCTATTAGTAATGTTAATTGCTTTATTCTTTTCATTTTTATTTCATCTTGTTAGATTATTAATAGTTGCAATGATTTATTATGATTGAGAAATACCGTATAGTGCTTTATTTTGGCGATTTTGTTGTAAAATTGTAATTGACGGTTTTTAATTTGGTGAATTTTGTGTACACATGTATTACTGAGCGTGCGCATTAATGATTGGCGGTTTTAATATTGACAATTCTGCTTGCAAACTGCCAATCGCCAAAATAAAACTCCGCTAAATTAAAGTGTTATACGGTAATTATGATAACAATAAGATGATGAAATATCAGGAAATTAATAAAAATAGAAAATTCTCTCCCAGCTATTTTGATGAAATACCATGTACTATCTGCATGTGATAGCACAGGGTGTTTTTGTGAAATTTTGGAGCAACTAAAAATATAAAAGCTAAGCACTGAAATTTTTTTACAACTCACAAAATGTAAATTACATCTTTCTCACTTTATTATGCTGTATACTCTAATTTATGCTGTTAACTATTATTCTGATGCATAATTAGACATTTACATGCTCTATACTGCATAAAAATTTTGAGCTAATTCCAATCAAAATAGAATTTTGTGAATTTAAAATTGCTCCCGAATGATAATAATTATTACTGATTTCGATCAAATTAAATTTTTAGAAAATTGCTTTACAAATCAGGTCAGTAATAAAACAATACAAAACTATTTACTATAAAAACGTGGGGGG